ATGACCTCATTCTTCTCATTGGATACCACGGTCATCCCGCCCTTCTTAGGCACCACCTGGGTGGGACTGACCCACTCACTATCAGAGATGGCGAAGATGACCCACCCGTCCATTAGCTTCACGATCTCCGCCCGAACCACAACCTCCAAGTTCAATGTCAGTCTCCGCTGGGGCTATTGACTCGCTATGACACAACTCCTAACAAAGGCCAAGTGTAACCAATGAAAGGGACTGCAATATAGTGGCTCAAGTAATAAATATCGAATCCACGGGTCTCTAGAGTTACTATTACTCAGCTTCAGTTCATTATCTAGCAACCCAGATTAAGATGAAAGAACTAAAACTACTCTAGCAAACTACAGTTAAAGTTAATCTAATTACAGGTTGGGAACTCACTTAGCTATGATTCCCCCTAGCCACTAGCCAGATTAATGATTGATGATCTCTAACCTGATTCACTTTCATTCACAATGCGGAGAATCCTTAACTAGACCTTGAGTCTCGACTAAAGGAACAAGGCCCTCTTAAGTCAATTGCCTAGAGGGACGTATCCTTCTCTAGAACAACCGATCAAGGCATTCTGAACTAGACTCCCTCTATCGAAAGAGGTTCTCAATCGATAAAAAGCAGTGAATCGACCCTCGACTAAAGCAATCGATCCAATACTATCAATCTATGGTGCTCTATTGACCTAATCAGGTATTCGCTCTCATAGGATCAAAACAGAATCAATGATCTCGACTAAAGCAGAATTGAATCATGAAAACATGCATAGATTGAATATGAACTCAAGATTACCAAGTAGGAGTACTCATACAACCACCCAATCAAACAAACATGGCTAGGGTTCCTCAAAACCTAAGTGAAGGGAAGTTACTCTATAGAGAAGAGAGAGACTGTAGTAAGAATCTTTAGATGATCAGTCTTCAATTCTGGGCTTGTTCCTCGAGCTTCCAAGGCAAAGAAATCCTCCAATTCCACTCTTAGAATGCCCTCAAATCGCCCTCTCTCTCTTTGGTTCGTCCCTTGGGTGTTTGGGATCCAAAACCCAGCTCCCTCTTTCCTTTGGCTTGAATCTGCCTCAAAAACCCGATTCTGGGCAAAAAACGGTCGAGGGCTCGGCCATGTTATGCTTTTACCCGTCCGTGCCCTTGCCACGTGTTAAAAACACGCCCGCGTCGGCCAAAACACGGTTGTGCCTAAATATGGACACGGTCGTGTTTTTCTTTAGGCCAGCCCGTGTTTTGCTTTTCCATCAGTTCAGCTCTCGCACATAAAAACACTGGCGTGCCTGTTTCTGTACACGGCCGTGTTCTTCAGGCCTCCTGCCCGTGTTTTGCCCCCAGCTCGACCGAATGACCTCCAAACGCCCCGAATCTTGTGCTTAGCCTTTACTTCGACGTCTGGGACCTGAAATATGACAAAGTAGCACAGCCCAGCGTAAAACGGGCCAAAAATACACGACTACTAGCCGCAAACGAATAAGAACTATGGGTGAAAACATGTGTAATTATTGTTCTATCAGCTATCTCACTAGCCGCATCTCATCCTCTAGCAGTATCCGGTGGGAACAGAAGGAGGGGCTGATCCCCCGGATATCAGTGATTTTCCATGCCAGAGCTCGCTCGTACTGCTTCAACAAGGCCACCAGTCTGGTCTTCTGCTCGGGTGTGAGGGTCGAGCTAATAATGAATGGAAGCTTGTTCCCCTCCCTAAGAAATGCATACTCCAAGTGAGGAGGGAGGGGCTTTAGTTCCAGCTCTGGTGGTTCCTCCGGAGAGGTGGTGATGCAAGGAGAGGATGAGATTGGCTTGAACTGCTTGGCACCCTCCAGAAACTCGCCACTCTCCAAAACGGCTAGCTGCTCATCCAGCTGCAGCTCCTGCGATGCATGCTCACCTAGAAAAATACAACGCTCAAGGGCATCGTTAGTACCTACACTCGTGATGGCGAGTGCGGTCTCAAAATCAGCCAGCATATCACAGTAATCCAAGTCATCATGCAAATGGGAATGCTTTGCATTATTGGACACATAAAATGTAGCATGTTCATCCCCATCACGCAAGATTAACTTGCCACTATGCACATCAATAAGCGCCTTGGCGGTGGTGAGAAATGGTCTACCCAAAATCAAAGGCACATCCATATCCTCATTTATATCCAGAATAAAAAAATCAACAGGGTATGTGAATGCACCCACGTTAACAAGCAAGTCCTCTGTGATACCCCTAGGATGCACAATAGAAAGAACAGCTAACTGAATGCTCATCCTAGTAGTTCTAGGTTCACCTAGGCCTAGCTTCTAAACAATTTATATGGCATGACATTAATACTAGCGCCTAAGTCTGCCAAGGACTTTCCTACATGCATGCTGCCAATGACAAGAGGGATAGTAAAAATCCCTGGGTCTTTGCCCTTCTCGGGCAGCTTGTTCTGCAGGATGGCAGAACACTCCTCGCTCAGCATCACTATCGAGAGATCCCCAAGTTTCTTTTTGTTGGTGAGGAGATCCTTCGTGAATTTGGCGTACTTGGGCATCTTCGACAGTGCCTCCATAAAAGGCAGGCTGATGTTGACCTGCTTCAACATTGCCATGAATTTGGCAAACTCAGTCTCCAACTTATCCTTGTGCAGTCGAGTGGGGAAGGGAAGCTGGGGAACATGCTCCTTAACTACTGGTTGTGGCTTGGGACCAGGTGCTTCCTTCTCAATCCCCACCTCTTCTTTGTCAACTGGAAGTGCTGAAGCAGGTATTGGTTCCTCCTGCCTGACCGGAGCAGGGATAGCAGATGTTGTCTTACCACTTCGAGTAGTGATGCATCAAGTTGCTGGTGAGGCTCGCGAGGATTTGGAATAGTGGTGGCAGGTAGAGTTCTCGGTGCTCTAGTGGTGTTCTGGCGGGCTATGCCTCCAATCTGGTTCTAGAGGTCCAGAAGTATGGCACCCTGGTTCCTCTGGACTACCTCCAGCGAGGTGATGCACTGGTCCAGCCTAGCGAAATTCACCGTGCTAGCACTGACGAAGGTCTGCACCATGTTCTTCAGCTCTGACATCTGATCATCCTGTGTTGGAGCTGCTGCTGGCTGGGTATACTATCTCTGCTGCTGCTGAAATGGTTGCCCATGTCTGGCCTGGTAGGGCTGCTGCTGTGGAAATGGGCCTAATCTGGCCTAGAAGGGCTACCTCTGCTGAAAACCACCTACTCTATCTGGGAAGCCGGGAGGCTTCATGGTGTTGCTGGTGTTGTTGTTCCAGAAGAAGTTGGGATGCTCAATGAAACCAATTAACCAATTAATGATACACCTAATATACAAAATTATTTATACTTCCATGCAACCAACCAAATCAAACTTTCGTGATTCCCTATTTTATTTCCATGTGCACAACAAACCAAAGAGTGATTCCCTATTTTATTTCCATGTGCACAACAAACCAAAGCATTATGGGTCAAAAATTAAATAGGCCAGCCTATTTACTAACCAAAACATTTTGGGCAGCTACTAGACTTTAGGATTACGTACAATACCATGACAGCCACCTCAAACTATGTATAGTTTAAGTATTTTGTAGGAGAGCTTTAACTTCTTTATGAGTGGTATTGGTATGTATTTAATATTTATGTTAAGGGTTTGTTGTAAGCTAACTATATTAGGTACAGAGATTATGAATGATGTATTAACTCAAATGATGATTATAATCATGGATGGTTAGTCTTATTATTATTGCTTATATATAATGATAGTAATAACATATGGTTATTTTTTATTTATTAACAAGATAATTGTTTTCATGTAATGTAATGTTATTTGGTTAATCCGATTAACTAAACAAATTAAATTTTGATTTGGTTAATCCGATTAACTAAACAAATTAAATTTTGATTTGGTTAATTTGGTTTTTGTGTTAATTTGGACGGTTTGGTTAAGACATTTTATTCCATGGTTAATGAAATTTAGGGTTAATTGGTTTGGTTATTACCACGGTAACCATTTGAACAACCCTACTTTGTGGGGTTCATGAAGAAAAGCAAGGGAACTAACTATATGGTCAGTGACACCTGTGTCCAAGATACATGGAATGGGAGAAGTACTGTGGTGAATATTGTTGCAAGAGTGGTTACCTAAAGATGGAGGAGCATGATGAGTAGTGAGTGTTGCATAATGTGCAGTGGTGGGGGACTTGCCCATGAAGTTGTCACACATCAGAGAAATCAGTTTGTCATAGTCTGATTTGGTGAGTTTGAATTCTTGCGAAGTGTTTGAAGAAGTGCCACTATCAGTTGCATTGATGAAGGATCTGCCTCTATTGGGAGGAGTGGTTCTGGACTAGGAGGATAGTCATGCTTTTTAAAGCACTTGTCTTCAGTGTGTCCAATCCTTATGTAGAAGGTGCATTCTGGGGGTTTAGTACATGGATTTGGTGTCACAGTGGAACCTCGAGGAGTAAGACCTGGGTGCCAACCATGTTTATGTTAACAGGTTTCTTCAATGTGGCCAGGAGCATTGTAGAAGGTGCAATGAGGACGTTTGCCGAGTATGCAAGGACGTTTGGAACCTTGAGCAGCGAAGGTAATGTGTTCTGAGTTAAGTATTTTGTCATGTTGGGTGCCAAAGAGCTGCCTGTAATGTTGTAAGGCTCGCTGGAAAACCCTGTCACTGTGTGGGAGTTTATCTCCAAAGAGAACTTGAGATCTCACTATTGCAAAGTTATCATTCAACCCACGAAGGAACTGGATGACTGAGTTTACTGCCTTATATCCAACAACAACATTCATAGAAGCACAAGTAGTAGGACTATTAGTTGTGCAACGACATGGATCTATTGGTTGGTAGTTGTCTAACTAGTCATGTAAGGCTATCAGATTCCCATAGTATTCTGTGACAGTTTGATTACCTTTTTTATGGTGTCAATCGACTCGATTAACTATGCAACTCGAACCATATCTCCTTTGCCATAGCGTGATTTGAGGCTAAGCCAAGCTTCATATGCGCGTTTGCAGGACATGATTGTCTTTTTCATTCCAGGTTCGACAACTTGTTGAATCCAACTGAAAACCATAATGTTGTTTCTTGTCTAGGAGGAGAACTGAGTGTTTGTAGCAGCAGGGGCAACAATGGTGTCATTGACGAAGCCAAGTTTGTTCTTGGCGGCAAAAGCATTGAGGCTAAGTTTGTTCATGGTCTTGCTCCAGTCGTTGTAGTTGGTGGTGGTCAGCTTCTCACAGACCAGCAGCAACCCTAGTTGATCTGATCCATGGAGATAGTACGGATCCACCATGGGATCCGAATTTTGTGGTTCGGCCATGTTTGGAGGCGGCGACTAAGGTTGCTCTGATACCAGAACACCAAGTGTAGAATTGAATCCCTAACTTGTCTTATCATTGATAATAATTGTGCTTTATATGCAAGGTTGGATCAGTAGATGACAAACAACTCTCTTAGCTATTGTTTCCAGACAGAAAACAGAGAATGCAAACTTTGGAGGGAAAAACAACTAAGGAAATGAAAGACGTTGAATCACAACGGCAACGTATCACCAATAACGGTCTCCATTGCATAAGACGTCGTCAGTGCACTTGAGGATTCTGAAGCCTTGCCTGAGACGACGTTGCTCCATCGGAGGGGATTACTAGCTGTTGCATTTGAGTGCAAAACTTTAGTATTTTCGTCGACACCCTATTTTCTTCCGGCAAAAATTGAAAATATTTCATGAGGTCAACAAGGGACAAATGCCATCAAGAATTCAAGATACCAAAATGAGTTAACTGTCATCCAGCAATCCTTCTAGGAAGGAGGGGATTGAAAAATCCTTAGCAAATCATGTTCAAGATCAGAAAAGGAGCAACCTGTCTCCAACAGCTACGCGTTTCCATATAATTAAACCATATGATTTTTAGCTGACACCAAAATTGCAACCCATTTCTTCATTTCTTTTCCCTTAGCTTCTTTCTTCAAGGATCGAGTCTCTGAGAACAGTTTTACCAAGTACATATAACAGAAAACTGTCCCCAAATTTTGGCAGGAGTACCCCCAAGATTGACCTAATTACAAACATCAACACTCCCAGCCACCAACTCCTAATAATCCCATTTGTTCGCCCTCTTGTTTCAATGGACAGTTGCAAATTCCAAAAGACCCCATCCATCAGAAAATGTCCAATATGCTCCCTAGACATCACAGATCAAGAGCTCCATCATATCGAAGGCATATCTGCATTGAATACAAAGAGCACCATTAACATCAACATTGAAGCACTAGCGTAAGAGTTAGTGATTTGTGGAGTATCAGTGAAGGGGGAGGAGGGGGAGGAGGGAGAGAATATACCATTGCTGGATTTTCCTAAACTCGGTAAGCACAGGGTATATATTCTCAAAGGCTGTGTATGTCTCATCTCTCACCTGCAGTGACAAAAGAGAATGATGCATAAACTACTATTTCACAATCCCCATGCGCAAACAGTTGAAGAACAAGATATAGGTATACATATATACACCCAGAAGCTCACCTTAGCTCCTGTAATCACGATTTTCCCCGAGACAAAAATGAGGAGTACAATCTTTGGCTGTTTCATTCTATAGATCAGTCCAGGGAACAGCTCAGGCTCGTACTGCATTTAAGTGCAATTTGGTAATTCATTTGAGTCATTAAGAACAATGGAATCGTAAATAGACTCCATATATGACAGGAATTTAAGTCCCATGCATCAGATTGGAACATACACTTGAGAAAGCACCATGAGAGTACGCCAGACCCTCGAGCCTAATTGGGAACTTCACATCACATGAGCCAACTATGTTCTGGATCTTGAAGTCCTATCAAAACATTTGGAGAAAAAGGGTCAGCAGCAAGGAAGGAAAATGATTCCAGACCCACACACCAAAAGGAACAAGATTGTTCAAAAGGGAATGGAAAGCAAACCTTGAATTTCGCTGGAAAACCAAGCTTCTGGATAATTCGAGCATACTGGGGAAACAACACTTGCAAATCAGTTTAACAAGACTGCTAATCAAACATAACTTAAAGGCATGTTAGATATGATTCACACCTTTCTGGCTGCCAATTTCGACTGCTGTTCACTTTTAGCACCAGTGCATACCTGGTAGTTTGTAGAAACAGACACTCATTAGAAACAAAAGGAGTATATAAATAGCAACCAATAGATAGAGAGTAAAAAGCACACAATTGCAAATGTTTTCCCAGTTTCAGAAATGAAACAGATAGTGATTATGAGAACAAACATACTGCTACATCAAACATCCTCCCAAAACACTGATTTCATGCTTGTCATAGTCTATTAGCTAAGAGAGTGGAAAACTAGATTAATCAAAGTGAGCCCACTTCACAATTATTGAAAGAACGCTACTAATGGGGGAGAGCAGCAAGGAATGGCCATGACTAATGACTAAAACCAGCAAGCTTACCATTTTCCCCGAGGCAAAGATAAGCGCCGTGGTTTTAGGTTCCCTGATCCTCATGATAACAGCAGCAAAACGCTGCAGAGAAACACTGCTTAGTAAATAAAGTTACCAAAAGGGTCAACCACAAGACATACACAGAGACCTCAAATTCCACAAGCATTAATCAAAAACCCTTTCCAACATACTTTAGGGTTATATTCTGCATTACGGGCTTGCAGAGCGATTTGCTTAAGATCCAATTTGCAATCCAAGTTCACTGTGGACACAATGTTCCTGAAGGTGAGGAGAAAACAACCCATATCAGTCCTACCCATAACAACAGCGATCTCTCAAGGAGAATGACGAACAAACCCAGATTGAGATCTATGGAACGAGGAGAGGGAAAAGAAGAAACTTACTGTAGGGTGGGTACAATGCCAGAAGGGTGCTTGGAAAGATCCACCGGTTGGCTCCCTTCCAAGCCTCCTTGTTCCGCCATATATAGGGTTTTTTTTTCTTCCCTGAATTGGTTTAACTCAAAAAGAATACCCAGAACCCAAAAATCAAATCTTATTTCTTTTTCCTTTTGAAAATTAGGTTTTTTTTCTCGTCTCTCTTTGTGCCCCTTTTTCCACCCACAATTCGAAGAAACAGACTCTGCCCACACAAACCCAATCCAGGCACAGAACAGAAGATCAAAATCGTGAAAGTGAGAACAAGTTAGGGTTCCAGGTTACGAGCGATCGGGAGAAATCTTGAAATCGAATGTCGAGAGTATAGTGATGAGGATAATATATCCGAATTAAGGAGGGAAAAAGGAAAGGGGGAGAGAGGGAAGGAGATTTCGAAAAGACGGTACTTTTATAGGTTCTTGAAGGATTTATATGAAGTCTGTCTGTCTGCTGGGAGAGGATTGGCGAGAGGATTTGGGATTTTGAGGGTTGGGCGTTTGAGAGATCTGAGAAAAGTGAGAGAGAGAGGAAGCCTTGAGGGCGATGAGGAGAGAGAAGGGGCTGGGGAAAAGGTTGAAGCGGTTTTTGCCCTTTTGTACCCTGGCCACTCGTATTTATTCTAATGCTGGGTCAGACAGGTTGTGAGAGGAGGGGTTACCGGTTGGTGCCGGTTGAATGGCGGGTGCTTTCGGGATTTCCACGGATGCGTGCGTGATATTTTCCCGTCTTCTATGAATTGCAAGGTTGTTAACCTGCGGGTTGATCCGGGTTGACCCGGACCCGGTCTTAAAAACGGGTTAAAACAGATCAGAAATGGTCAAATTCGGAAAATTTTGGGGCAAATCCGGAAACTCTGGCGGTTGGCCCGTCCGAGCAGGTCAGCGGGCTGCTTGTTTCAAAGTGTCGTTGAATTTTTACTATGTTGAATTTAAGTTAATGTTATTTAAGTGTGTTGGAGTTTAAGTACGATTTTTTATGTTGGATTCAAAATAAATACAATATAATGACTTTTTTCATATTTTTGAGCTAAATCGGGTTAAAATGGGTGACCCATTAACCCTTGACACACTAACTCAACCAGGTCCGGGTCGACCCGCCGGTTGACAACCTTGATGATTTGGGCTATTGGGCGGCTCTCTTAAAAAAAAAAGCAGTATAAACCGTCTGATTCTCATTGGATGAAAGGGCTAGTAGCCCAAAGAGTTAAAGTACAAGTCATTTCTCAACGTCACATGCGGCATGCCAAACCAAATGAGTTCTTAGTCCCATGGACTAGAGAAATGGGCCAATTTGTGATTGTAAGCAACAGAATTAGCAGATTTAGAGATATAGACCTGGGAGATGGTTTTAGTTGATCCCACTTCGTTGTCAGCTCGTATCTATCGAGGCCGCTACTTCAGTTTTTCATCATCAATTATGGAAGCCGGCTTGGGGTCCAATCCTTCTGGGGGATGGCATAGTGTTCTGTTTGGGCGTGACTTGTTAGCTTAGGGTCTTCGTTGGCAGGTGGGAGATGGTTTATCGATTATAGCTTTTTTAGATTCATGGCTCCCGACATCTCCACCTACCATCCCAAAGCCTCGAATTGGTGCGCCTTCCGCCTCTCCGTACGTGGCAGCTTTCATTAATCCGCGGTCCAGATCCTGGAACATTCATATGCTTCGCCTTTACTTCGATGGCAACACGGTGCAGTTGATTCGTGGAATTCCTCTGCCCCATCAAAGGTTTGTTGATAAACTTATTTGGCATTTTGAAGCCACAGGTCCTTTTTCAGTTAAATCAGCTTATCTTTTGGTGAGTCAAATGCAACCTTCTTCTTCCCCAAAGCAACTGGAGCCTTTCACTGATCGTCTCTTGTGGCAATGGGTGTGGAACCGGAAGGCCCCTTCAAAACTTAATTTCTTCTTATGGCAATGTGTGCATCGTATTCTACCTACTCGAGAGGCTTTAGCCTTTAGGGGTATGGATTTATTAGCAATTTGTCTAGTTTGTGGCCACAAAGAAGAAACAATTGAACATCTATTCTTTAATTGTTTAATTGCTAGGAAGTTTTGGAGGCTTATTGGTTTGCAGGGGCTTTCGGGATCTTCGGAGAAAAGGTCTTTCATATTGTTCATTTGTCATACCCTCATGAAGACAACTGGTGAAGAGGCGGATTACATAATTTTGCAGGTGGTTTGCTTGCTTTGGAGGTGTGGAAGAATCGTTGTACAGTGGTTTTTCAATCCAAGCAAATTCGCTTGGATGATTTGGCAAACCAATGGTTACATCAAGTGAAGGAAGTGGACCAAGTGTTACTAATCTCAGCTCCGGAGTTGCGATCGGGATCCGCAACAGCTCAGCAGGTTGTGCTGGGATTGAAGGATTATTTGCTATTTTTGATTCTGCTACTTCCGTAAATGGCTTTGGTTCGGCAGGCTTTGTCTTGTTTGAATTTTCAGGTGGGATTGTTGCGGCTTCTGCCAGGCACTATGAAGCCATTGTTCATCCATATCTTTTGGAATCATTGGTGATGTGTGACTGCATTGCTGATTGTCGTCGACATGGGCTACATGATCTCACAATCTGTGGTGATGCAAAATTGATCATTGGCAAATGTTTGACTAGGGATGCGGCAGACAACAAGATCGGTTCGATTCTGCAGGAAATTATCTCTATTCTGGATGAGATGGGTACTTATCGGGTTCAATTCATAGGTCGAATTAGAAACAGAGAGACTCATTGTGTGACCCATCATGCTCTGAATTTGTCGCCTCCCATGTTACGGAGGTTTGACTTCTATTCTTGGTTTAGTTCCAGAGTTGTTTAACTCTATTGCTCTTCTTGAATCTGAACGATTTCCTCTTCTCAAGAGTGATCTAATGACAAAAAAGAGAGAGAGAGAGAGAGAGAGGCCCAGGTGATAGCTCTATTGGCACCATTCCAACTCGTTCGCTCTATTCTCAAGAAAGTGCAGATCCTCCCCTTCTCTTTTCTATCTTCTTCGTCTTTCGTAAGACTAGCAATTAGATTTTTTCCAATGTGGAAAAGACTAGTACTTTGACTTGCAGATATTATGAGAAGGATGGGATATGACAAAGGGGTTAGAACCTGAAATTCGTCCTTCTCTAATTATCCTTGTAGTCATTAGAGCGAACCTCACACTTTAGTAGTCATTGTTTCTTTGATGTTTGTGAATTATGATGATCTTGTGGTGCTTGTGTTTGATGTCATGCTAGTTGGTACTTGCTAATTGGATGAATACATTTGTTGATTTTTTATTTTATACATTGGAATTTCGATTAACATTACGAAAGCGCGATGAATGTTGTATTGATATTATTTCTTATGATTAATATTTTATGTGAATAGAAATGTAGATAAATTATTTTGAATGATTTTTATGATTATTCGTCTTTAATATTTAGTACTCTGCACTCTTGGTCATTATTATGTTTGTGGACTGAAATTGATGTTAAATGACACTTGTTAAACTTTAATGGATTGATGATTTGTAGTGGTGGCAAATGGATTGGATCCATAGATTGGTGGGTCAATGGATCAAATGGATTCATGGATAAGATAAAATGGATTGGTGGATTATCCATGAATCCAAATGACAACCTCAACCTTGGACCAATATGTAAAACATGAAAAGTTTAGGTACTAAAATGTCATAATGAAAATTTTAGGTATCAAAATGTAATTTTTAAATTATATTTTTGCATAAAAATAAAATTTGGGTACCAAAATATAACAAATAAAATTTGTGGGTGCTAAACTATAATTTGCAAACAATCCATGAATCAACCATTCCAATTGGATATGGTCAAATGGATTAGATTTAAATAGATTGGATTAGTTGGATATTTAAAATGGATTGGTGTATTGGATTGGTGGATTGGATTGAGAATTGCCACCTCTAATGATTTGTGTATTATAAGTTGTTATTGTTTTGGTTTATTATATTTTGTGAAAGAAAATTGAAGCTATTGGTTTGATTATGTATAATCGTACTTGTTAGAATGTATTTTAGTAGTTATTGGTTAACCGCCAAAATAACCGCTAACCGAACCGATAAAAGATGGTTAACCAATAAGGCTTATCGGTTCTGTTATCGGTATGAGTTTTTTGCTTATTGGTTAACCTCTAACCGCCTTATCAGTTAGTGGTTAACCTAACACCGAACTGATTAGCACCCCTAGTTAGGTTGGTAGTGGTAACCAATAAGATTACGGGTAATTAGTATAAACGGTCACAGAAATTGTCACTTTGTACAAAACGGTCCAAACCTTTCATTTGTAACAAAACGATCACAAACTTTTGAGCGAATATCAAATGTATAATTCTGCTATCCTCCATCCAAAAATCTGTTAATTTGTTCCAGTCAGTCGTCCAATCAGCGAAAGAATTAATAAGAAATAAACTAAACCAAAACTAATTAAATCCCTAACAACCCAACACCCCCATCCAACCCAACCATTTCCTCTCTCTCCTCTCTCCCTCCCTCTCCACCACCATCTGCACATCGTCGCCCTTTCTTCTCTCTACCCCGCATCTCCATTGAAGCGGGAGATGAATTATGGTGAGGTAACGATGATGGTGGAAGAGAGGTTCGGAAAAGGAGAGTCAAGAAAGGGCAACAGCGTTGGGGAGACATGAGAGAAAGGTTGTGGGGGGAGACTCCATGTATCGGCGGTTCAACGCATCGGTCGACAATCTGCTCCTAATGTTTCCACCATCTTCTATTGATCTCCTCACCGGTTCACCACCATCGAGATCCCGCCATTCGAACACCGCCGCCGAAGTAGGATTCGATGGAAAATCCCAGATGGCCAACAACAGCAAAAGCAATGACTCCTTCATTCGGCGATGGAGATTTCATCGAGAAGGTCTAGCAGAACTCGTCAATTTGCAATCTAGAGAAGCCAAAGCCGAAAGAAGGAAAGGTACATATGCTTCGCCATCGTCATCCATGTCGCACATCGCCATCTCCGCCTCTGCCATCGAGTCACAATCTTCGTCGCCACCTTCGCCTTGTCCTCTTCGCATATTTGTGTTGTTGTTGTTGAAGAAATGGAATGAGAATGAGGTCTGGTGCGGGATCGGCGTACTCTCACTCCCGAGGCTAAGATGGAGCCGGTTGGATGGCGACCTGGTTGGAAGAAGATGGGGTGGCGGCGGAGGATAGGAGCAGAGTGAAACGAGCGGTGGGAGGGTGAAAGGAGCACGAATGTAGTGGTGACTATGGAGATTTAGTTTGATCGATTATTGATCAATTTAAGTCTAGTTTGGTTTCATATATTACATTAAATTGATCGGTTGGTTAAGGTGGTTTGAATGGTCCATTTTTTATTATTTCTTTGAGGGACGTGGTGTACTGACTAGGCTTAATAGACAGACTTTTGGATGGAATTGGTTAGAATGATATTTTTGGTATTCGTTCAAAGGTATTTTACTAAAACGTGCAAAATTGAAGTTTTGTGACCATTTTGTACTAATTGACAAGTTGTGTGACCTTTTATGATAACTACCCAAAATATTTCTGATCAACCAAATGCAAGGGGTCTACCACATAAAATTAGGGGTAGTGCGGATAACATATTTGGACACAAGATTTTGCTTACGTCTATCGTTGTCCTAGAGTTTGCTCAAATTACTCATTAATATAGGCTTCCAAAATGAGAAATTTTGAGGATGCCGGATTTCGAAAGTCTTCAATGGTTGGATTTCATGTAACTTACCCGCTAGATATAAAAACTCAGGTTTGGGTTATATAATTTTTTTTCAAAAATGAAGAAAAGGTTTCCCACTATTGTGGAGGTGCATTTGCTGGTTCGGTCTCTACTTCCTCCATCAGTTGTCTCGCCAAGAAAATCGCCACCGCGGCCAAAGTCTTCTTCTTCTTCTCCTTCATTCGATCCTCCATCTTCGAGACCTCGTACCACCAGAATAGCTAGCATGGAGCTATTGTTCTCTTCCTCAACCTCGATTTAGGGATTGTTCGGGGTTAGGGATCTGTCTAAGTTAGGATTTTTCCGGCGATGGAGGAAAGAATGAAGACGGAGAGGAAAACACGAGGGAAAAGTGGTACTCTCTTTGGGTTTGGATTTCTTATATTAAAAAACTAAATTCTTAAACAAACAAATAATGTTTCCAATCCATATCCCAATTATATGAGTTTTTAAATGAGGATTTGGGCTCAAATTCATCTATAACACATTCTATCATCTAAACGACCTTTGTGTCCATTTATGTTTTCTCTTAAATGAGGATAAATTTCCTCTAACCAGAGGGTCGTGATTGATATAATTGAGATGCACGACTTATTAAAGATTCCCTACAATATGAACTATGAGTGAAATGAACTAGAAAGTTAACAATCATTGATCATAATAGAGGTCGGGGAGATTCACTAGCTCAATGACCTTTTTCTAATTGAACTTAGACCAATTTACTTTGTGTTAGGGAATTTTATGAATTCAATATGAACCTTAATTGTTGGATAACATATTTATTTGGATTAATAATGCATATAGGACCCGAGGATTCGATAATTTATTACGTGAGCCATTGTACAACAGTCCCTTCCACTAGTTACACTTGGCTAGAGTTAGGAGTGTGGTTTGTGGTGACCATCGTGCTAAGGCAGAAAGAAAAAAGAACGCCTATTGTGCAAACAATCTCCAGATTTTTGTGTCAAGAATGATTTACATAACCACCACCAAAACCCATTATATCACTGGAATCCCCATGTTAGATAGAAGGATCTGGAGATCATCACCATTACTGGAGGAAACCAAAAAGGCTCTCGAACAAAAGGATAAAGAATTCCTTATTTTCTTATAGTGCAAAGTCAAGAGCAGAAAACGTAACCTTTAATCGCTTAGAGCTGGCCAAAAAAGACTCGACAGAAGATCCCTTGGTGATCTCCTTCCATAATGACAAATTCAAGGTGACACATGTCATTTTGGATAATGCCATCTCAGCGGACAAACTTTTTTACTCCGTCCTTAAAGGCATGAAGAAAAGCATCAAAGATTTGCGCCCCTCGACGACCAAGTTGGTAGGCTTCCCATGCACAAAGATCAGGGTCTTGGGATCACGATAAGCATAACCATCAAAGAAGCGAGTGTACCTAGGACGTATCTCATGGATTTCCATGTGGCTGACTATCCCTTGGGGTACAACACGGTCCTAGGTAAGGTTGGGCATGTAGGTGGGTAATTCGCGGTTTGACATCGACCCACCCATAAATAACCCAAACTGTAGTGGATGAGTTATTGATGCTGGTGAATTGTGGATCAATAAATCTCCAACCTGCATTTATTGGTTGGGTGATGGGTGGATTGCGGGTTTCCTTAATGACCTGTACCCCATTTTTATATGGAAAATAGTTGTTTATTACTTATACTACTAATAGTTATCGTATTTTTTAACCATCACTACACACTGACCATTGACTTCTAAAGGTGGAAAATAAAAAATATTCTTCGACTACTACTATTGGTCACTATGTTGTGTATATGATTTCCATTAGATATTGAGATGCAAACTAGAAATTATTAATTTATCTAAGTGAGAAAAAATGTGAACTTTCTCTAAATGATTAAATAATGAAACATTTATACAAGTACTAGACACCTCCATATGTGACAAGTTGGCGGGAGGTGTATAAATTGATGCAGTCTTACTAATTTGCGAGAAATTTATTATAAATTTTAGTCAAATTTCCTAAATACACATTAAATAATTGCGTTTGCGGGTTAACCCACAACCCAACCGTACCCATCCGTCACCCACCCAACCCGACCCGAAGTAGTGTGTGGGTGGATTATTAGTCGCAATTGTACCAACTCGTTAGTAAGCGGTTGAGTCAGTTTAAAACCAAAACCCACCCAACCCATGTATTGCCCACCCCTATTCCTAGGAAGAAGTTTTCTGGCAAGCTTCATAGTCACACCATCTACATGCCACCAAATGGCAAAATTCTTCGGGAGAAACAATAAACAAGCCAAGGTTTGCTACTAAGAAACAACAACAATATCTTGTGGTATATGTCATTTATACATGAGGAAATGTCCCAAGGCTTGAATGGTCGAAATCCACTTCATGCATGATAACTCGATATTTACACATATTTTGACCACCATGCTTACACTGCTTAAAGCTTAAATTCTCATATTTTAGGCTCATTTCATGCTAGGTTGTTCTTGTTGGTGATATTTCAGATTTGAGCACGACTTCGGGTCGATTGTACGAAGTTGGAACGTTCGACAAGAAGCTATGGATTTTACGTAGCAGTACGAGTTGGTCGTGCAAAGCCGTTTACACGGCCTGGACTGTACTGGCCGTGCAAGGGCACCTTTTTGCCGTACGGGATGTCCATGGGGTCTACACGGGCAAGGCTTAATTCCACACGGCCGTGTGACTTCTCTTGAGCAATTAAGTGCAACGCCGCGTTTTGGGAGTTACATGGGCATACTGGATTTCTACACGGTCGTGTGGTCTGGCCGTGTAATCGGGCAGAGTTGGGTTTTAACCCAATTTTGAGTCTTTGAGAGGGGAATCGAGTTTTCAAAGCAAAAAAAGAGCTTTAGAGAGAGAAATTACGAAGAATAAAACCTAGGATCAATTTTAGAGTTGGGTTTCACCATTCAAGCTTGGATTTCGACCTTGCGTGACGATTTAGATCCCAGAGCTTATCATATACATCATTATGAGTATGATTTCTCTGATTTCTCTTTCTCTCTCTCTCTTAGGAGTAAACCCTTCTATCACTTAGGTATAAAGAACCCTAGTTCCATGTGTTAGGATCTTGATTGTAATGACTTTTGGGATGATGTATTGATTGATTTTAATCAATTGAAGTGTGTTTATTGAGTCAATTCAATCCTGATCAACTTCATTTGATTTTTGATTCAACCTATGATAGATATAATCTAATTAGGTTACTAGAGTCTCTTCAATCATTAGGAGTGAATTGATTGGACGAGAGTCAGTCAATTCACTGCTTTGTACTGGAATCCAATTATAGTAGTGAAGTTCTGTGTGAATCGCACTAGTAGTCTATTTTGACGAAGGCTAGTCGTCTGCCGGGTATTCTGTCTAAGAGGGCTTGGTTAGCTTAAGAGATTCCAATATGTTTTCGGATCTTCCACAGTCTAATCAACAGTAGCCAACCAAGCAAATTACAACTTGAACCTAATCGAGGAGATAGGGGGACTCATTCCCTAGTGACGCTTTTTATTTATTTATGAAGGTGATTGAAATAAATTAATGAACAACAAGAAACAACAAAAACAAGGTCTGAAGGCGAAGGTAGTTGATTCGGGCTCAAATGTACACATTTACCCCTCATTTCTTATTCATTTAGCTTAGTATTTCATCGTTCCTCGACATATTCCATGCTAGGTTGTGCTTGTTTTGATACACTTCAGGTCCTAGCACATGTGGAAGGGTCGAGGACGAGTTTTGGGATATTTAGAGGTCGAAAAGCGCAAAAACCGAAGAAAATTCTCGTAGAAGTAAATTGAAGGCGTCCAAGAAACAGCCGTAGTTCACGGTCTCCTAAGACCGTAAACATCGAGCAGTCCAGCGAGGTTCGTGAAGTTACTAACGACAAGGCAGTTCACGGTATCTAAGACCGTGAACTGGGGCCATTGACCGTGAACCCAGTCGAGTGAAGCGATGCGTTTTGGACAACGATGAGTTCATGGATGCGTTTAGGTGTTCACGGCCGTGAACTGGCCAACGCATCCGTGAACTGATTGCTTTCTGGAAAATATGAAGACAACAGCGGGGGAGAGAAAGGGGAGCTGGTTTTTTGAGAAGAAACACTTTCTTTCTCTAGGGTTTCAACCTAAACACCATAGGGAAGTTCTAGTGAGAGAGAGAGAGAGAGAGAGAGTGCTAGAGTGATCTTGGAGCATCATTGGAGGCTTGGATGGAAGATTCAAGCCTAGAAGAAAAAGAAGATCTTGAGCTCAAATTTGTAATCCCTCTCTCTTTCTAGAAACTCATTCTTTTCTCTTTGGGTGTTGTAGATCCCTGACTAATACTTTGTAATTACTTGTCTAAGATTGAATGATTGTCATTGGGTATTGGTTAATTCGATGTTTAAGGCATTATTCTCCATGATTGTGCATGCTTGTGCTTAGCAACTTAGGGGTTATGCATGTCTTGTGCTTAGCATCCTAGGGATTGTGCATAATTGTGCTTAGCACCCCTAAGTTTGTGCATTTAGATGCTAGTAATCTAATTTGCCACCTTAGCCTAGTTTAGAGAGGAAAATCCATCTGTCAAGGGAGACTCAATCGAGTTGGTTT